TTTTTCCATGACTCTAAGTTGTTTTAAAGTGTTTTTAACATGTTTAATTTCTTGCAACTCTGAGAGCTGGAGGTCAGGTGATAATAATAATAATAATAATAATAATAATAATAATAATAATAATATAATAAAGTGCTTTAAATGTATGTTGTGGATGTGAGTTTTGAACCTACCAAATGGGCAGTAACAGTGACCTCCTTAAAAAGCTTTAAAGTAGGGTTGAGAATTCTTGATTTAATTGTTTTATCTTTTTGTAAAATGCCTTGGAGGGGTTTTTGTTTTTTACATATCAAGCAATGTACAGTGGTGCCCCGCAAGACGAACACCTCGCAAGACGGAAAACCCGCTAGACGAAAGGGTTTTCCGTTTTGGAGGCGCTTCACAAAACGAATTGCCCTATGGGCTTCCTTCGCAAGACGAAAGCCCATAGGGAAATCTCCGGGACAGCGGGGAAGCGCAGCGCGTCTTCCCCACTGTCCTTGGACCTCCGAAGGCTGGTGGTGGTGCGGAGAGACCTCCTCCCGCCGCCAGCCTTCGGAAGGCTCCTCCAAAGGCTGGCGGTGGGGCGGAGAGACCTTCGCTTTTCGGAGGAGGAGCTACCATTACACACGTTTAACTGCCAACTATTGAAGTGCAAAGAAACAATGGAGGGACCTCTCTGGGCATCTGTATTTGGGGGGTGTCGTTCCATTTGAAGTCCTCACAACAACAACCCTCTGAGGTAGGCTAGGCTGAGAAGAAGAGAGAGGGTGGGTTTTTGAACTGGCAGGGTCAACTCCAATCCATATCCAACGCTTGATCAACAGCGCCATCGTTGCTCTTTTGAACCTCGGAATCACAGAATTGTAGAATGGGAAGGGACCGTCGCAAGAAGTAACCCAAAAGTTTCTTAGAATCATAGAATCATAGAGTTGGAATAGACCACAAGGGCCATCGAGTCCAACCCCCTGCCAAGCAGGAAACAACATCAGAGCACTCCTGACATATGGTTGTCAAGCCTCTGCTTAAAGACCTCCAAAGAAGGAGACTCCACCACACTCCTTGGCAGCAAATTCCACTGTCAAACAGCTCTTACTGTCAGGAAGTTCTTCCTAATGTTTAGGTGGAATCTTCTTTCTTGTAGTTTGGATCCATTTGTGTCCCTTCTTAGCACAGAAAAAAAGTGCATCTTTTATAATTGAAAGCATCACCACCATTGCCAGCCCAGCAAAAGTTTCCAAAGCTCCAGTTCTAGCAATGTCAGAGACACAGTATGTAGAGTTTTATTAGATCTATTCTCTATATATTGCGGCTTTAAACCTTTCCTTATAGTTATATAAACGCATCACCATTGCCCAGCAAAAGCAAAGCTCCACTTGCAATGTCGGTGTATAGTTTTTAGTATTCTTTGCGGCTTTAACTTTCTATGTTTTAATTCATTGATTTGTTGTGTTTTTGTGATACTTTATTGTTTATATTTTTTGTAAAACCACTCTGAGGCGCGTATTTCCCTCCCCTACAATTTTCACATTTTTATTGCATAAAATTTATACGCTGCTTTATAAAAAAAAAGGGGGGGGATTACTAAAGGTAAAGTAGCAATAACTTGAGTGTGGGGTGGGGTGGGGAAAAATCACAACCCTACTTTTAAACCTATTTTTAAACCTAAAGTACTGAAACAGATTAATGTCACCTCCGCTTCCTAAGAACCTGGGTCAAAACCAAAGTCTCATGAGATTTTGAGAGAAATAAAGTATTATCAGATGCAATATATGCAGTTGACAAATCAAGAAATAGAATGGAAAGTTAAGCAAATGAGACAAAGGACATTTGAATCAGCAGACAAATGTGGGAAGCTTCTTGCATGGCAACTGAAAAAGAGACAAAAATTGAATACAGTGACCAGCTTGGAGGTGGATGGGAAAAATATTTACAAGCCAAACGAGATAAGTAATTGTTTCCAAAGTTTTTTTAGGAAATTATATACACAAGGGCCAGTGAATGAACAAGAGATAAAGGAATTTCTTAAAGAATATGGACTGCCTAAAATTTCAGAACAGAGTAAATTGATCCTGAATGAAAAAATAACAGAACAAGAAATAGAGGATGCCATTCAAAAAACACAACTGGGAAAATCTCCAGGACCAGATGGTTTGTCGGCCAGATACTATAAAGCTTTGAAAGAATGGTTAGTGCAACCACTGAAAGAAGTCTGCAATGAAATACTGGAGGGGAAAAAGGCACCGGAATCGTGGAAAGAAGCTTTTATTTCACTTATACCCAAAACTGAGACTGAGAAGAACCAGGTTAAGAACTACCGCCCTATATCACTATTAAATGTGGATTACAAAATATTTGCGGACATTTTAGCAAAAAGACTGAAGAAAGTATTAGTAGATGAGATTCATAAGGACCAAGCTGGCTTTCTCCCGGGAAGGCACATGTCAGTCAATGTGAGGAATATAATAGACATTTTGGAACTGCTGGAAGTGAACATTAATAGAAAAGCGGTTTTGATTTTTGTAGACGCGGAGAAAGCCTTTGATAACATTTGCTGGAGTTTTATGAAGAAGAATCTCCAAGGGATGGGGGTAGGCCAAGGTTTTGAAAATGGTATAGGTGCAATATACTCTGAACAGAAAGCAAAACTAATTGTAAACAATGTGGTAACGGAAGAAATATCCATAGAGAAAGGAACACGACAGGGATGCCCTATCTCCCCTCTACTTTTTATTTCGGTTCTGGAGGTTCTGTTAAATATGATTAGAAAGGACCAGTTGGTTAAAGGAATTCAGGTCGGAGTTAAAGAGTATAAATTAAGGGCATTTGCAGATGACCTGGTATTGACCTTACAACAGCCAAACACTAGTACTAAAAGGGTTTTAGAACTGATTGAGACATTTGGTCAGGTTGCAGGATTCAAATTGAACAAACAAAAAACTAAGGTGTTAGAGAAAAATCTAACAAATGAGGAAAAAGAGAGATTTCAGAGTGAAACAGGCTTGGGGATAGCAAAGAAAGTGAAGTACCTGGGGGTGAACCTGACATCAAAAAATGTGAACCTATTTAAAGACAATTATGATAAATGTTGGTCAGAAATTAAGAAAGATCTAGACATATGGTCAAGGCTGAAACTTTCCTTGTTAGGTAGAATTGCTGTTATCAAGATGAATGTATTGCCTAGAATGTTGTTTTTGTTTCAGACATTGCAAATAATGGACAAGATGGACTGTTTCAAGAAGTGGCAGAAAGATATATCTAAATTTGTCTGGCAGGGCAAAAAGCCCAGAATTAAATTGAAGACACTAACAGATGCAAAAGATAGAGGGGGTTTTGCCCTGCCGGACTTAAGGCTTTACTATGAATCAGCAGCGTTCTGCTGGTTGAAGGATTGGCTACTTCTTGAGAATACAGACATTTTGGATCTAGAAGGGTTTGATAATAGATTTGGATGGCATGCATATATATGGTATGACAAGGTAAAATTGCATAAAGGCTTTAAAAACCATATGATTAGGAAAGCACTGTATAATGTTTGGATACGTTATAAAGATCTACTGGAAAGTAAAACCCCCAGGTGGTTATCACCAATGGAAGCTAAAGAGGTGAAAAAACTTAATATGGGGTCTAAATGGCCCAAATACTCTGAAATTCTAGAACAGGAAGGTGAAAAAATAAAACTGCAGAGCTTTGAGAAACTAAAGGATAAAGTGAGAGATTGGTTACATTACCGTCAGATAAATGAAGTATTTAAACAGGACAGAGAGAAAGGCTTCCAAGTGGAGAGGTCAAAACTAGAAACAGAATTGTTAGAACCCAATACTAAAAATTTGTCAAAAATGTATAATTTGCTGTTGAAGTGGAATACTCAAGATGAAATGGTGAAATCCAGTATGATTAAATGGGCACAGGATATTGGACATGACATTGAACTTGCTGACTGGGAGCAGTTATGGACCACCGGTGTTAAATTTACGGCATGTAATGCCTTAAGAGAAAACATTATGAAAATGATCTATAGGTGGTACATGACTCCTGCCAAGTTAGCGAAGATTTATCATTTGCCCAACAATAAATGTTGGAAATGCAATGAAACGGAGGGAACTTTCTATCACCTTTGGTGGACCTGCCCGAAGATTAAGGCTTTCTGGGAAATGATCTATAATGAAATTAAGAAAGTTCTTAAGAGAACCTTTTCCAAGAAACCAGAAGCTTTCCTCTTGGGTATGGTGGGCCAAATGGTGCCAAGGAAGGACAAGACTTTTTTTATGTACGCCACAACAGCAGCAAGAATTCTTCTAGCAAAGTATTGGAAGACACAAGAACTACCCACGTTGGAAGAATGGCAGACGAAGGTGATCGATTACATGGGACTGGCAGAGATGACTGGCAGAATTCGAGACCGGGGGAAGGAGGCGGTGGAAGAAGACTGGAAGAAATTTAAAACATATCTTAAAAACTGTTGTAATTTGGATGAAAATTAAGGGTCAGAGAGATAAGAAACAAAGAACTACAGCTGTTACTAATAAGTTAAGGAAGTTAATATATGAAATGAGTAAATGATGTTTATGACTAAAGGGTTGCTGGAAAAATTTGAAACAAGGATGCAGAAAAGGGGTGGTATGGGGAGGTCCATTTTATGTTTGTTTATGTTTTTGTTGTGTTTTTTGTTTTTTATTTATGGAAAATTAATAAAAATTTATTTTTTTAAAAAAAAAAGAGCCTGGGTAAGCAATGCTTGTCTGAAGAGGAATATTTTTAGCTGACGCCCTCAAGAGGCAGGGAGTTCCAAAGTTGAGATGCCTAAATTTTATGAAACCAATAAATATATAATAAAATATGTAATGCATAATAAACAGAGGGAGAAGGAGAAAGGGGGGGGGGGCAACCCGCACAAACCAAGGACGTTCCATATTAACATAAATTAGAATATGCAAATATATGCAGATTTTGCCGAGAGGGTACCGCCCCTCGCCCCGCGGTGCATCATGGGGATGAGAGAAGGGGGACGGATACGTTACCAGAGTCTCCCCCGGGCACGGCGAGGGGCAGGGCCGCCACGTACAAGGCCGCCACCCCCGCGCCCACCGCGCCGGCCCCACTCAGCGGCCCCATGGATCGGAGCCGCGCATGCGCGCGCCCAGCCGGTTTCACCGCCCGCTCGCCCGCCGGCTTCCGGGTTGTGGGCGCGGCCAACGCCGGCCTGTTCCATTCCCCGAGGGCGCGGAGGAGGGAAGCTTCCTGCACCCCCTTCGCGGTGGTTGCGCCCACGCCGTAGCGCTCTCCGCTTGCCTGGCCTGGCTGCGGCGACGCGCTCCCCCGCCCGGCGGGCAGCGGTACTGCAGGCACGAGGGGACCCGGGAGATTGCGGGGAAACGGGGTCGCTAAGATGGGGAGTCTTTGCGGAGGCGTGTAGTTCCTTGAGGGGTTCCTTGAGGCCCCAGATCGCCACGTCGAGGGCAGACCTCCTTCTTTGCACCTCCTTCCCGCGTACCACGCTGGGGGAAGCCTCACTTTGCTACTGAGAAGGCGCAAATGAAGCTCCCAGTTGCGCCTGGTGCGCAGTTCTGTTGCTGTTGTTGTAGTTCCTTTCTTCTGCCTCTGACCACTCATCATTGTCCCACCACCACTGCCCAGGCTCTGAACCTTCTTACCTTGGGGGTTCCCCAGCTGGTTCGTCCCAGCATCCCTCTGTGTCCATGACACATGTTCCTTATTTGTCATACAGATGGATTATCTATCATCTTCTCTATCTATCTATCTATCTATCATCTATTTCTCTACCTGTGGGTCCCCAGATGTTGTTGGACTACAATTCCCATCACCCCAGCTAGCAAGGCCAAAGCTCAGGGATGATGGGAGTTGTAGTCCAACAACATCTGGGGACTCACAGGTTGAGAACCGCTGAATCATCTCTATCATCTATCAATCAATCAATCAATCATCTATCTACAGTATCTATCTATCTATCATCTATCTATATCATCATCTATTTTGTATACTGCTTTATACCTTTTGCTGCATACCTCAACAAAAAGCAACAGATATTCCTTAAATTCCACATTCAGTACAGCTGCTCCTCTTTGACACCCAGGGTCAAAAATCACAGCAGAGCAGCCGGTGTCTGTAAGAGCAAGAGAACACAAGAAGCGCTGTTCTGGATCAGGCCAGTATCCTATCTAGTTCCTTTCTCACAGTGGCTGACCACTGGGGGAAGCTTGCAAGCTCAGACAGGAGCACAAGAGCCCTCTCCCTTCCTAAAATTTCCAGCAACTAGTATTCAGAAGCAAATGTGGAGGCACAGCACAGACATCATGGTTAGCAGACATTGGCAGCCTTATCCTCCATTAGTGGAAGCCATCCAAATTGGTGGCCATTCCTGCCTCCAGAGAGACGCAAGCAATACACTAATGGCAGGACAGTCAAGTCACATTCTGTTGTTGTTTAGTCGTTTAGTCGTGTCCGACTCTTCATGACCCCATGGGCCAGAGCATGCCAGGCACTCCTGTCTTCCACTGCCTCCCGCAGTTTGGTCAAACTCATGCTGGTAGCTTCGAGAACACTGTCCAACCATCTCGTCCTCTGTCGTCCCCTTCTCCTTGTGCCCTCCATCTTTCCCAACATCAGGGTCTTTTCCAGGGAGTCTTCTCTTCTCATGAGGTGGCCAAAGTATTGGAGCCTCAGCTTCAGGATCTGTCCTTCCAGTGAGCACTCAGGGCTGATTTCCTTCAGAATGGATAGGTTTGATCTTCTTGCAGTCCATGGGACTCTCAAGAGTCTCCTCCAGCACCATAATTCAAAAGCATCCATTCTTCGGCGATCAGCCTTCTTTATGGTCCAGCTCTCACTTCCATACACCACTACTGGGAAAACCATGGCTTTAACTATACGGACCTTTGTTGGTAAGGTGATGTCTCTACTTTTTAAGATGCTGTCTAGGTTTGTCATTGCTTTTCTCCCAAGAATGAGGCATCTTTTAATTTCGTGGCTGCTGTCACCATCTGCAGTGATCATGGAGCCCAAGAAAGTAAAATCTCTCACTGCCTCCATTTCTTCCCCTTCTATTTGCCACTGTGGCCACTGTGAGAACAGGATGGTGGACTAGATGGACCACTGGCCTGATCCAGCGCAGCTCTTTTTGTGTTCAGACATTCATCTTCATTGAATAGGCCCAAATTCTGCTATTTATGAGAGAGGGAGAAAAAACTCTCTCCAGCCACTTATTCCACATGCACAATTTTCTCTTCTTGTGCCCAATCTACTGAAAATCAGCTTTCTATATTTACCTGAGTTGCATCAGAGATGGAGGAGGAGTGGAAATCTCAGGTAATACTCCCCCAGTAATATTAATGAGCATTTCAAATATCTCAAAACAGTTCACGTGTGTTGTCTAGTTCAATGTGATGCTCTCCAGGGTTTACTGAACTACAACTCCCCTCATCACTGTAAAAGACAATATGGTATTATACCCATTTGGCAGATGGGAGGACTGAGGCTGAGAGACTGACTTGCCTAAGGAACCCTTTTGAGTTCATAGCACAGATGAGATTTGAAACACAAGACTTGTGCTAAGCACCCAAGAGCAGATCTAATGTGACCTCAGTGCAAACAAGCTGGAATTTGTGAAGGATTGCTTGGAAGGGAACATAATAATAATAATAATAATAATAATAATAATAATAATAATAATAATAAATGCAGTTACGACTTCTTCCGGGAGAATTAACAAGCCTTGAAAGTGCACAGAATAATGCTAAAAAGGTAAATTCAGCAGGAAGTAAATTCAGGCAAATTGGGGGGTGGGAGGTTAGGGAGACAGAGAGAAGGAGCAGAAAGTAAAGGGCTAGAGTGAGATGTTCAATATCCAAATTCTGTAGGAGGCAGTGATGGCCATTAACCTAGATGGCTCAGAAGATGATTAGACAAATTCATGGAGGAGAGAGAGGGCTGTCAATGGCTGTTAGAATTCCTGCTTCATGACTGCAGTCATGGGATTGTTGTCTTTCACATGACGGTGTATGTTTTGACTCCACAAAGTGGGATGTGACGGAGACAGGATGTTTGTGTTACTGCGTTCCGTGAAGTGGGACTATTGTCCTTTGTTCTTTCTCTCTTTGCTGTCTGATGCAAAGAGAGAGAGGAAGCCATGTCGCAGTGCTCCATGTGTGTTTATATGTAAATAAAGTAGATTAGCCAATATGCTGAGTTGCTGAGGTCTGTTACGCAAGGAGCACAAACTCTGCAGATCCCTAAGTGTGCCGGTGTCGGTTGGCATCGGTCACTGTGATGTTCAGGCAGAAGAAAGCTTTTGAAGCTCCCGAACGATCAACCAGGAGGGAGGGAACATGCCAGTCGGGCATGTGTCTCTGCCAGGGTCCTACTCGAGTGTAGGCTGAACTCCTGACATGCTAGCCATGGTGGCTGCGCTCTGCCTCCACAGATGTTTCTGAAAACCAGTCAGTGGAAACCACAGGAAGAGCGATGGCTCTTGTGCTTGGGTCCTTCCTTCAAGCTTCTCCATGGATCATCTGGTTGGCCCCAGTGAGAACAGGATGCTAGACTTAGATGGGCCACTGGCCTCATCCAACACGCTGTTGGGAATCTGAATACGTGCAGCTACCCACACAGAGTCAATTAGGGTTTGGCCGACAGCCAAGGCAATGTGAAGGAGTACGTCTGCCTGATGATACAGAGGCATGGAGACAGCTCCATGATTGGTCAAGCTCTCTCACGGGAATAATGATTAATGGCCTACTAACTGGAATGTACGAGTTTGAGTGTCAGTTCAGTGTAGGAGTTGTGAGTTGTGTGAGAGAGAGTTAGTCAAAAATCCGTGTTCTGTTCTGTTCTTGTAAATGTTGTTGTTGTTTAGTCATTTAGTCGTGTCTGACTCTTCGTGACCCCCTGGACCAGAGCACGCCAGGCACTCCTGTCTTCCACTGCCTCCCGCAGTTTGGTCAAACTCATGCTGGTAGCTTCGAGAACACTGTCCAACCATCTCGTCCTCCGTCGTCCCCTTCTTCTTGTGCCCTCCATCTTTCCCAACATCAGGGTCTTTTCCAGGGAGTCTTCTCTTCTCATGAGGTGGCCAAGGATCTGTCCTTCCAGTGACCACTCAGGGCTGATTTCCTTCAGAATGGAGAGGTTTGATCTTCTTGCATTCCATGGGACTCTCAAGAGTCTCCTCCAGCACAATAATTCAAAAGCACCAATTCTTCGGCGATCAGCCTTCTTTATGGTCCAGCTCTCACTTCCATACACCACTACTGGGAAAACCATAACTATACGGACCTTTGTTGGCAAGGTGATGTCTCTGCTTTTTAAGATGCTGTCTAGGTTTGTCATTGCTTTTCTCCCAAGAAGCAGGCGTCTTTTAATTTTGTGACTGCTGTCAGCATCTGCAGTGATCATGGAGCCCAAGAAAGTAAAATCTCTCACTGCCTCCATTTCTTCCCCTCCCTGTAAATAGTCCAGTGTATATAATAAACACCTAACTACAAGTTCCTGGTTCCTGCTTCATCCATCCTGTCTGCAGCCAAGTTGCCAATTGCTTCCGTGAACTCTGGGTTTTCTCTGCTAGGTCTGGTTAAGGTCCTGCAACTAGTCAGAAAGTTGCAAAACACCAACAGGCTTTGCCAATAATCCTTAGGTTCTTTTGACTAAAGTTAGTGAATACACTGCTTCATTTTCTGTAATGGACCAGCTTCCACTTCTTGCAGAATTGTCCTGCAGCTAAGCCCCTGATCCCTTGCAGCAAGGACAACATATGCATGTGATTTATATGTAAAAACTGATGGGGGGGTTGTGTGTGTGTGTGTGTGTTTGTGTTTCTCTCACCTGAATTCCCATTTTCAGACACTGGACTTAGTGCATCGTACGGAGGATGTTTGTATGCCAAACAGAAGGATATCCAAGAAAAAAAACCACACACAGAGAGAGACGCAAATCTGGCCGAGGATTGCAGTAAAGGATATATTTTTATTTAAAAAAACAGTAGCTCAACGCATGGCAGTAGTTTAGAAAGCAAATAGAGTACAGGGAAGTATTGATAGAAGAATAAAACACACATTCACAGAAATCATTATGGGATTGTAACAAAAGACTAGAGAAGCTGTACCTGGAGTACTGGAGGAGATTAAAGAAAGGGTTTTGAATACAAATGGAGGGGGGGG